CAGTGATAACACAAGATCCAGTGTGTGGCCACATTCCTGTGTGGCCGCATTAACCCACTGCGTAAAAGTCAAAGAGTTCACAAGGTTGATGAAGTCTGAGACTAAAGGTTTTCCAGGACAGCAGATATGAATATTAAAGTCTCCCAGTAGCAATATCCGCTCGTATCTAGCAGCCCAGCTCGCCAGGACGTCTGAAAACTCTGGCAAAAAATCCTTATTGTATTTCGGGGGTCTACGTTCTACAGCACAGAGGATTAGTTGCGGATGACCAAGTTTGAATAAGCACAGTTCAAGACTAGTATTAGGAGACCAGGACTGCAAATGTTTCATCTTCAGATTAGCTTTATAAATAACCACCAATCCACCGCCACGTTCAGCGGTCCTCGGCACATTAATAAAAGCACAGTCAGCTGGGATCAGTTCATTAAAAACAGCGGACTCACCAGAAAGAATCCATGACTCCGTCACACAGAGGATGTCGAGAACATGCGCTGTAAAAACTTCATTCACAATGAATGTTTTGTTAGCCGCAGACCTAGCATTGACCAGGCCCCACCTTAAGGATACTTCAGAGCTGCTGATGGTGGAAGAAGCTCTAGCAATGATCGGAGATTCCTCAGATCGGCTCGTCTCCGACTGAACCTCCGAAAGGGTGGGGAGTGCTTACCATACTACCATGAACAGCCGGCAGCAGGAACGAGCCACGAATCCACCGGATCCACCCCACGCCACGGCGCCAGGAACCGAGTGGACGAACACAAGACCACTCGCGAACCACCAGAAAAGGTAAGCTTCAATACTTTCAGCTTGACGAGCCGTCCACCCCGACAGCCTATCCTCCTACGTTTCCTCCTAGCAGAGTGCGTGAATGGCGGTGTTTCCCAGCACGCCAAAAGGCCATCCGGGTTCTAGTGTGTGGTGTCCGGCTAAAGCTGCACACCTCACCCGAACCGAATTCACACACCAACATTCCACGGTCAGGTGGCAAACGCTGCAAAAACCTCCCTAGATCAAACATGACCTTGGAGTGAACAAACATCAGAATCAGATTTATTGCCATGTAGGTGAGAGGCTCATCTACTAGGAATTTGTTTCCATGGCGGAGGAAGAACGTGCAGCGTGCTTCTGTCAGCTCGTGTTCTGATTAGCTTTACGTCAAAATTAGCAGGCTGCACGCTAGTTTGTCCTCCATTTCAAACCAAGACAGTCCAACATGATGAATGATCATGAGCGCTCTCAATCTCCTTCAGAGCAGGCCAGACGACTCCTAACCCCCAAATTCCACTACCTCCGCTCCGCTGCGCTCCACTCCGACACGAACTCCGGAGCAAAATCGGTCCCTTTGTAGTCAATCAGAGCAATTCCACTACTGCGGCCGTGCTCCGGCAGTGCGGCGCCGTGCGCCGCCCTCTGTTCCGGCGTCCGGCAAAAATAGAATCGATCCTATTTTTGCCGGACGCCGGAGCACCTCCGCAGTAAATGGACAGAAATTACAAACGCCCAACAGGAAAGGGAGCAAGCACAACTTCCGTTTTTCACAATAAATCGATAAACAAAAGGCGTTTTTTGTTTCATAGGTGTAACCCGGGTTAAAAGATGCATAAATAGTAAAAGATAAGTAAAGTCTAAGAATATAAATATCAAAGAGTAAAATTCATTTGTTCAATTTTCTTGTATATTAAAAAGATCAAAGTTCATGTCAAATGGGTAAAAACATGTTTGCATTGTTTAAAATAAGTTATCTTTCTTTTATTGTGAATTGCTTGTGAGAACTGTAATTTCCTACGGGGATATGGTCTGTGAAGGTAACACAGCGTGGGGAAGAAGAAAAAAAGAGGGAAGAGAGAGAGAGAGCGCGAGAAGAGATGGTGGTGCGTGAGTTACACGGAGTATCCCGAGCGGTTAGCTTGTTTTTATGTACTAGTAATAGGTGTGTTTTGACTTTTTGGAAAGATAAGTCACAGTGTCGGTAAGCTAGTGACATAACATGTAAAGTTTCAGCGTGAGTCTGCTGGACTGTGTGTTTTGTTTACTGCGTCCGTGCCCGCATTGAGTTAAAGTGAGGCTAACACAGCCATTAGCTAACAAGGACTACTGTAGACTGCCGTTTCGCTAAAGTTGTGGAACTTAAACAAGCTGCAGAGGATCGTTACCGGACTGGATAGCGACAGACAGACCCCAGATAGTCACTCTGAGTGCCCGCGTCACTCTGAGTACCTCTGGCAACGTGGGAAGCTTGAAACAAGTAGCTTGTGGAGCACGTGGAGATCACGGACCTTCCTCATCTTTGGCTACTGCGTTCAGAGCAGAGTGCTTTTGAAGGAGCTGAAGACAACCTGTTGCCTGGATTAATCTGGTGGGAATTGCACGTTTCACAAGGTACTGAGTTTATTTATTTATTTTTGCTCGTTGAGTGAAGAACTTCCGGTTTGGAGATCGTTTGGATTTATACTGGAGCAAGACAGGCCTGCAACATAGAGTTTATCTCTGCCGGCTTTAAGTTTAGTTTGGGACTATAATTGTTTTATCACTGGTGGTTTATACTGTGTATGTGGGGATTCTGTGTACACTGGGTAAATTGCTGTGGGTGTTTTGCTTTGCCTGAATACTGAAACCTGCCATTTTATTATTTTATTGTTTTCATTGTTTGGTAAATTAAAGGAGGGTTACATTGCTCTACTTTACATGGTGTATGATATGATTTACTGCACTGTAGACACTAGTGTTCATTTTCGCGTGTAGTGCCATTGTTAAGGAATAAGCTTCATTGATCCCAGAAACAAAAGAAAAGTTAATTTAAGAATATCGTACGAGAGTACACTAGAAAAAGAACCCAAAGCCCATTTATTTAATGGTATTGAGTAAATGAGGGCTACATATGCACAGGTTTAACAACTTTTAACAACTATCAGTGGCGGCTAGGGCTGCTCGATTATGGCAAAAATAATAATCACGATTATGGTGACTGAAATTGAGATCACGATTATTTAGGACGATTTTTCAATTTATGTTGATTTTATTTGTTTTTATTCTGTCATAAAATTGCTCAGGGCACAATCAGGACAAAAATAAGAAACAAGATGATCACTAAAAGAACTCCTGATTCCCAGTATAAAAAGACCAATATACTTATAGCTCATAGTCTATGACCCAAGGGCTATAGACCTTGGTTTAACTCATTTAAGTCTAACCAGTACAGACCCAAATACCAATATCTTGCAAATACTGACAGCAAGAATTACACAGTGGCATTTATAACAAATACATGCAAATAAATTGATGTTCACAAAATGTTGCATAATATTTATTTAGTCATGTCAAGGTGCTGTAGGAGAGTGCACTAGCACCGTGTCCTCAGAGAGATTAGTTATTATTTATCAGCGTGAGGAACTTATTTCTATCTATTTCTACCTTATTTATAAACTATTTATTTACAAGTCAATCAGTTAATGTAATAATTGCCCCAACCACAGCTGCACCCCCCACCCCAACCTGGTCTCACGGCAATCGGGGCAAGCTGCACGTGTGTTTAGCGCGCCGCACGCGCACATTTAGCTGTTTTTAGCTGCTCAGGAGTCCGCAGGTGCGGTGTGTGTGTCACTCACTCTGGTTAATCCAACATGGAGCCGGCTCCGAGAGCCGTTTCTTTAGCGACTGACACATCACTACATCATTCCCTTTCCTAATGTCCGGAAGAACGGTCCGGAGCGCAGGCGGAGTGTTTAGCTAACCTGCAGGAAACATCGACGACCGTTATCCAGAAAGTAGCTAAGGGTTACCAGAGATGTTTCTCAGGTGTTCGCTAGGTACTTTTAAGTTAAAAAGTCAAGAAGGAGGTCTGAAAAGCTGCTAGAAATAGTGTCAAAGTCACTAGGTTGGCAACACTGTGGGAGGAGCGCTTCATTTGCTACTCAGGGTAGCGCAAGCGGGAGGAGCAAATAATCGGCTTGTTTTGTTTTTTATAATCGTTCAAAACTCAGATCGTAATCGTGATAAAAATTCGATTAATTGAGCAGCCCTAGTGGCGGCTGAAGTTTAATTGCACAAAAGTAAGCCATAAATACAGTTTCCACTATCAAAGTAGTCACACTTTGTTGATCCAAACACTGCTGATCTCTCAACACAAATGATGGGCAGATTAAACAGTTCATTTCGATGCTTCTCCCACACAACGGGTGTTTGGATCTAACTTCCGCGTTTATTGCTCGGACTGTATCGCAAGATCTCGAAAATCCCGCGCATGCTTGTTTGCCCACCTCAGGTCTCCGCACTGGAGCGGAGCCGTTGTAGAGCGGGTACCAGTAAAAATTGAGTTCAGAAGCGAGCGGCTGTGGAGGGCGGGGGCGGACCGGAGCGGAACGGAGGTAGTGGAATTTTGGGGTTAGGCTCACAAAATTCGGCCGCTGCTCGCTGCTCCTCAGTTCAGACCAGACGCTTGTTTCTCCGCTCTGGTCGAGGCACACCTCGTAGTTTTTCTTTTAACCACTTGGTGTCCTCCATTTCCTCTCCACCTTTTCTCTGCTCTTTTCCTCCGCACCCCTTGCTGTTTGTGTGTGTGTTTGTACGTGTGTGTGTGTGTGTGTGTGTGTGTGTGAACCTATGGTGTGAACCAGTTGTTAATACACAGTAAAAAATCCTGTGTCAATTTAACTCTAAGAGAGTTGAATTTAACTCCGTGTCAGATAACATTTGGTCCCACTCGAAAATAGAGTAAAATTTACTCTTTTATCAGTGTTACATTTTCAGTGTTAATTTTACTCAAATTTGTGTTAAAATTAACACTGCAATGTGTTGAAATAATTAACACTGTGGTTTATGAACACTTTTCAGAGTAAAATATTACACTTTGAAGAGTTAATTTAACTCCAAAATTAGATATAAAAAACAGTCTTTAGTGTCAAATTTAATTTCTCTATAGTGTTGATTTTTATTTCTCCAGTGTTGTTTTAAATATCTAGTTCATGTAGATCTATCAAATAAAAATAATCTCAGACAAAAGGTAACTTTGACAGCATTTATTCACAATGCAAAGATACTTTACATTCTCAAATGTATAAACAGTTGTAATAGTTGCATAAAAAGTTGGACATTGAAAGCTACTGTCCATAATCACATTACTATTTGTAATCAAACATTTTTGAATAATGCAATCACCACAGAAAACAATATGGAACAACAAGGAGAAGTGAGTCATTCACTCCATATGACATTTGTATATCAAAAGGCCTGGGATACAGCAGGTGGTCAGCATGAAACAAAACCAAATCTTGTGTTGTCCTGGCCACTTCATATGCATGGACATGTTCCTGAAAGCTAACTGTGCATAAAGGCACAGTTAGCAGAAACAGTTTCTCATGTATTATCAGAACTGACTCAATCTGATAAAATATCGGCATTTCAAAATCAACTTTGCCACAAATAACCAGATGAGGGCGGTAAATAAAGCCATTGTGTTTTGCCCAGTTGACTTTCATAACTTGAATACCATGTGGCACTTGCATTGACATGGCAATAACAGAGCCTCCTTTTATCATTTTCAAAGACACCATTTTCCCTGGACCAATGTCTAAACGATTAAAAGTAGAAGAAGATTGCCAAATGTATGCCATATGTCTCTGGTGTTTTTTGGCTAGAGTTTTGGTGATATTTTTAAATGATTTAAGCTGTTTTTTGAAAAAATTGTGCTTACCTTCATAGCGCATGCACCAAGTATGAAGTACAGGTCCGATTTTCTGAATACAACGTGGATAATGGATGAGGAAATGGTGCTTTGGTAAAAGTTTCTTATGTGGATACAAATTCTTGAACAGTTTGTGGTGATCCACAATCAAATGTTTCAAATATACACAAAGTCCTTGTGACAACTTAGGAGACAATACAATGTTGACTATTTGAAGTAATAAAAGAAGTAGATCCCAATGTCGATCAGTGGAGGTTATCAAATTTCCAAAAATGAGAGGAACATTCCTTAGCAAGCACCACGACTGAATTGCATTCAGTCCCAAATCATTAGACTCCTCACTTAAATTCACTGCAACTGGCCGATTGTTTCTTTCCATGAATCCATAATCAAAATTCAGTATTCTCAAATTCAGCTCTCTCAGTGTGATATAATGTCCTTTAAAATGCTGAAACAAAAGCTTTAGTTCGTACTGGGCCACCCCTTCTAAAATGTCATGCATCACATCAACTGCAAAGTTCTCAGATGTATGAAAATAAGTCAGTGAATTTAGTGCGCATGAACTCTTTACACCAAAAACATAAGGAAGAGAGGGATAACCAGCCATCTCTTGACAGTGGGCAGTGTGGGTGTCTTTGGTGCGCAATATTATTTTTGGAGAATCTTCAGAAAATTCTGTTTGGAAGTCATCTTTTTCAGCTAAACAAAACCTGCAACAGTACCTTGCACTAAAAGACTCCACCAAACCAAACAGGCTATGCAAGGCTAAATTATCACCAGTAACCTGGACCAAACTGCCACGAACACAACCACCATACAGTGGAATAACAATGCCATCACTTTCCAACACTTTAATGTCTCGAACAACAGGAGCAAGGATTTCATTAAAACCATATCGTTTAAGATCTTGTGCATGAAACAAAGCACAGAGGTGTATGTTGGCCAAGACGGAATTCCATTTTGGAGAAAAATTTCTTAAAGTAAAATATATTGCACCCATTTTGTGAATACCTCGCTTGGAACCAAGAGGATTTGCAACCTCAAAATCGTCATAAAACATTTGTATCTGTACTGTATGTTTTTCAGTTGAAAACAGAGGATGAGTTTTGAAAAAAGAACCATCACTAATATCTCTGAGTGTTGAGTCATTAGTGTCTAAGCTTATCAACATTTCTGCAGCATACTGACTATTGAATACTGATTGCAGTGTAGATAAAATTGGAATGTACATGAATTTATCTTTAACTACTATCTGATCATATGTTCCAGTGCTTTTATTTCGCCTTGTGTCAAATCTGGAGCCAATTACGTATTCAAGTGGTTCTACAATTTCCCTTTTTTCTGATAAAAATTTTGATCGCTTGTATTCTGAATTAAGAATTGAAAAAGGATTATCTAAGTCGTCAAAACAAGCTTCAACTTTTTTGCAAACTTCTGTTTCTCTTTCATCATTAAATACATGTCTAATGACAGTTTCTTTTGCATGCTGCTGAACATCTTTAACTATCTCTTCCATGGAACCAACAACAGAGTTCACAATGCTTTGGCCTAAACCTGCAGCCTGTAGATCGGAAATTACACTTGCACAACTATTTACAAGGTTAGCTGAAGATAAACCTGACTCGGTCTCTAAACATTTAGATACTTGAAAATCAGTGGAATTACTTGTGTTAGGAACACTTTGACAAGATGAAACATTGGGTTCTTCAACTGAATTAAATGAATTGTCAACATGACACTTGTTTAGATGCTTTCTAAAACCAGAAAAACTACCAAAAGAACGTGAGCATCCCATTTGGCCACATTTAAGATAAAGAGTCCTGCCAGTGCAGAGACCATGGATTACTTTAAGGTGCTTAATAAGGCTGTTTGGTGTACCACGGTCCCTTTTGCAAAGAAAACACTTCATTGTTATGGCTCACCCGATTCTAGCGCAGCATTCTTGCTCGCAACTCTGCAACTCTGGGAGTTTGTTTTGTTTCTGCTACATCGATGTTGTAAACGGTTGTTTGGAGAAAAGTGAAAAAGTTGGTCAGGGCATGACTGTATGACGTACCGAATACATAATGAGCTTTAAAGAGTTCATCAAGAGCTCCCACTGAACCAGTTGCCTTGCATGGAAGTGCATGCTTGTCGATCACAATGAAGAAGGTGTGGATCCTGCTTCTTGTAGTTCCCTGAGCAAGAAGGTAGGGCTGGCAGCTTTGGCTAATATGGTCTAGATGCTGTTGTACACTGGTTCCAGCCTAAGACAGAAAAATAATAGTATTTAGTGTCAAGACTGACAATAGATAAGGTAACTTCAAACTGGGCATTAAAGTGAGGTGATGGGAAGTATATTTTAAAAAAGCGCCCAGCATACCTTTAGGAATCTGATGAGGTGATCTGCGGCTTGAGATGCAGACATCTTTCCTGGCCTCTTTCGTCCTTGTGCAGAAGGTGGTAGCAGATGTAGCAGCAGCAAGATTGCAGACATGTCACTGTCCCAGCCTGTAAAAAAAGACATGCATCTGATTAACAAAATGTTACAAATAAATTAAATTGTCATAATTACCTTTATTACACGCATACCATTTTCATCTTCAGCTGCTGACTCAGTGTTGTGCAGCAAGTGTAAGAGTTCTGGAGTGGGTACCAGTCTATGGCTTTCCACGATAACCTTCTCTTTAATAGAGGTGGGCCACTTCACCAAGAATTTGTTGGCAGTTTCCTCACCAAACAGAAGTCTGAAATCTTGTTCTATCTGCATTGCAAAAATAAAGGACAAAATAAATAAATAAAACCACTATTGGTGACACTTCATAATGTCCAGGATATTTCTGTAACAAAAACAATGTTTTACCAGTCCCGGTGTGTCCAAAAACCGTGGAAAGACTGAGAAGACATCTGTTGTCTTGTCATCGTTGACCAGTGAATTGCGATATGCAAATGTGGCTCTCATCTTCTCACGAATAGTGTCCTCATCAGCAGTGTGTTTCAAAACAGCAAGAGCTGCTTCCACATCCTCATTAGACTGCATTTTGTCAGCAGCTAAGTTGGATTGTCCATGGCCTGGCCCACCAACTTCAGAAAAAAATAAATACATGAGCTTGTGCCCACACATTTGACATTTTATTGCCATCATACTATAACTGATTTGTAAACTTACTTTTGGTAGATTTCCTTACTGATGCACCCTTCTCCTCAGCAGCTTTTCTTTGAATGGTCTTCAAGCGCCATGCAAGGTATCCTGACCCACTCTCTGGATCGTAATAGTGTTCCTATATAATAAAACACAAAGATACAGAATATGTTATCAGTATTTATACCATCAATATTTAGCTTAATGTTGTTACGACATTTTGCTTACATATCCATGTTTTGAAAGGGGGTCTTCCAGATATGGAAACAAGGCAACAATTCCTTGTGCATACATCACTCTGACAGTTCGAGGGGGAGATGTTCTGATAAATAAGCACAATGATGACTGTCACACATTTGATATCAAAATAAATATAGTAAATATGCTATTTTTAGCCTATATAAATTTACCCATGCTTTTCTGTCATCTCAGCAGCTAGAATGTTTATCATCTGTCTTCTGGTGGCATCTGTCAAAGATTTGGTTTTTGCGTACTCCTGCATGATGCGTTCACCACCAGGCTTTGTAGTTAGGATCTGTTTAATCAACTTAAAATGAAATGAAGAATGTAGTCATCAAAAACTGAGGTACACATATGAGTGTTAGATTTAACAGTAATGAATATTACTCACTGCCAGTGCCTCGTAGTTTATGTGACATGGCTTTTTAGGCTGATTTCCTCCATCAGTTGCTGAATCTTCAGCAGGATCACACATGGTGAAGTTCAGAATAATAGTATCATCAGAAGATGCTGAAGATGATGTAGCCAATGGTGATAGAGAAGAACCTACACAAAGTGGAAAAAAAAACAACAACAAAAAAATACAAAGACAAAAGTATATTAAATGTAACTGTGATGCTCCAATCCAAACCTTTAGGTTAAAAATGAACACGACTTTAAATAGTCCTTACCAAGTTCTTCATTACTCATCATGACTCGAAATGTGCCTGGGGACTCCTTCACTATTTCCTCAAAAACCTCAGCATCAATTTGGGTGTCAGACTGGTCATACACCTTCAGATCGAACAGTTTTTCTCCTGGTATGTCAAATTTTAGACACACTAAATAAGAGAAACAAAGGGTAAAGTCTGATGTTATTTACCAACTGCTGACAGGTTAAAAATCAGGTGAATAGGTCAATATAGTTGATTTTAATTAACAGCAGAGAAAATGATCAACTTCAGCAGTTCACACAATGTCTTATGATAAATTGTATAGATTCACCAAGTAAAATACTGTAATATTGTTTTATACTAACCTTCTTTCAGGAAGGCATCAAGTGTTAGGTCAGACAGTCTTACATACTTCTGCTCCCCACTAAATGAAACACGCAGCAGCATTTTCCTGTTAAAACAAAAGTAAAAAAAAAAAAACATTAATTTCCCCTAATAGTGTATAGTGCTTTAGATGAGATGCTTTATTTTAGAAAAAATAAATATACAAAGATAATTTCTATATCAATAATTAGATAAATGCTCCAGTAATAACAAAAGAAAAACATCAAGTCAGCTGCTGCAGCCTGAAATCTTAATTGTGTCTGATGCTCGTTTGTGATAGTGGTTAAACTGGTCGACTGTTGCCTTAAGTCATCTCATAGCCACACACGACTCAATCCAGGATAGAAGGTTTATTCGGGTTCTGGTACATTTTGTCTTTGTGACTGGACTTAGCTTTGTTAGCCATTCCAGGATGCCTGCATCCTTGTGTGAGCTATGTGTATCACACAAACAACGAGCAAAAATAGAGGTTCAGATATGGGGTTCCCAATTTGTCACATACGGTAAGATTTTTATAGGCGATGTAGGCATCAAAACTTTATAAATGCACTTATTTTATTGATGATGACAGTACTTTAAAAATACGTTTCGGCGTTTAAGAAGTTAAAATTCGACAAATAAATGGCTGTGTCGCAAGCAGGACGATGCGCACTTTACCCCGAGCACAGCCACACATCGACTACTCGGCTCGCTTTGTAGGCGTCTGCTGTAACGTAACTTCTTTCTGTTAATTAGTGTCACAATTTTACAACACACAAACTGTTGCACAAGCACAACGGGCAAAACAAATAGTTATTATACATCATACTTTGGTAATGATCTTCTGTAAGAAAAACTAGCATTATTTAAGCGGACATTGCTACTTGCCGAGGAGGGCCCGACAGACTTCCATCAGGTGGTAAGGCCTGCTAGCTTCTATGCTAGCGGTGCTGCGCTGCTACTCGGAAAACTAACTCGAACGATGCGGTCCAACGGTTCCATGTGCTCTGATAGGAGTATGATAGCTTTATCGCAAGTAAGCTAGCAACAAGGTTAGCTAAGAATGCTAACAATGGTGGGTCATATTATATATTTAATTTGACCTAACACTTATTTAATTGTTTAAACTGGTACAGATCATCGACATATAAATATGGTACAGATAAATGTTGCACGTCACAATATTCAGACACAGATAAGTTCAGTATAATGCTAAATTGCTAATATTTCAAAATTTAAAAGTTACTAGAACTTCACCACAAATACCTGCCTTTATTTGGAGCGACTTCTAATGTTACACATATTTTACCTACAGTTTTTTAACTCCATTAACAACAAAATTAATAAATAAGTCTAACTTATTGTATGGTGACTCGTCTCTGTCCCAGTGACCACATTTGACTAAAGCAGCAGTCTGCAGTGTCCTTACTCCTTAATGACAATAGTTACATTACAAAACCTTAACTTGAACAATAATTTCAAAACCACATTAGTAATTTAGAAATGCTAAAATTGACTTACCTGACTGGCACCATGCACTCCAGAGCAAGTCCAGACTGGTTCAGACAAGCACCAAGCAGCTTTTAATGACTCTTTGGAAATAGGCGGGTAAATGAAATAAACTCTCTGTAGAGTAGAAATTAACTCTGCATGTCTGCAGATTTTAACACCGAATTTTAACTCTACAGTTTGAGTTGATTTACTCTTCAAATAGTTGTAAATACTCTATCTAGGTTAAAATTATTTTACACTGTGATTTTAACACCCAATGTTTTACTGTGTAGCTGGCCTACGACTTTCTGCCTCTCTGTCCTGTTTGCTCCGGTTGAAAGACATCCCAAACCACGCCCCCTTCACATGGTCACACACACACACACACAAGTTCGCTGTGTGTGTGGTTTTTATGCAGTGTCTGTTTACGAACACATTTGACTATCACGGAATTGTATTTTGAAATGCTTTATTTTGTTAAATTTACCGGCCTGCCTCTTATGTCTAGGTTTGACTTCCTGCCAGAATTGACGCGGTTCACCCGCGGCTCACGAAAAAAATAGAGCAGACGCCAAAACGATCGCTGCACGACGCGGGCCGGAGCGCCGACGCGCGCGGCGCTTTGGCGGCCCATTTGGGCTATAGAATAGGATAACAATGGCGCCGAATGATGGCGGTCCCATTTTCGCGGCGCTACGCCGGTATCTATCTATCTATATCTATCTATCTATCTATCTATATCTATCTCTATCCGTCCGTCCGTCCGTCCGTCCGCCCGCTACTGAGAACAGATGAGTCTTTAAAAGTGATTTAAAACCCAACAGTGGGGAAACCATGCTAGTCTGGATTGGGAGTGCATTCCACAGGGGTAGGAGACTTTGCCCTGAGAAGAGGAATTTGACTATCATAGTGTCGTTTGAACGCCTCTGCAGTAACGGAGCTCTGGTTTAACGAGGTAAACCAGAAGCTGAGCTGAAAGGCAAAGCTCAACACGCTCAAGCTCGTGTACCTGTCAGCCCCCATCTGTGGTCGTGAGAGTAAGATCATGATCAAAAGAAGAAGATCCGGAAACAACTTCCTCCATGGGACAGCCTCTTCTCCTCAGGGACAGGACGAGGAGCTCAGAGGAGTGCTGCTGCTTCTCCTCAGGCCTGGCGCTGCTTCCCCTCCTCAAACAAGGTCAGCTGAGGTGGTCAAAGTGCTGATTACCTCCTGGTTGAACTTCTCTCTGCTTTCAGGACACGTCCCACTGGAAGGAGACCCTGAGACTAACCCAGAAATCACTAGAGGAATAATTTATCTTGGCTGTCATGGGAACACATCAAAGGAGCTGGAGGTCGTCTCTGGGGAGAGGGATGTCTGAGGTTTCCCGCTGGATCTCTCACCTCTGGGACCTGACACTGAAGCCTTCAGATGGTCTTTTGTGCTTTTCTGTCAAATCTGCAGGAAATGCGTTGGTAACCCCAGCGTAGAGACAGAAAAGGCAGGCGACAAAACAACAGACGTGGGAATAGAAAATCATTTATTGAGAATGTGATCAACAGTTTTAGATGCACAGACAGTAAATCTGGAGAAGCCGAACAAACCCTGAATGTGAGCACACCCGTCCCATCTGAGAGCTCGTTCTCAGCTTCCTGCTGGTAAATACCTGCACTTTGACTCGTAGGAGCTTAGAAATTAAGAGGATTTTCCTTTTCCTTTTCATTAATTGGACTCAAAGGTCTGAGAACCACTGCAGGAATAAGCACCAGGAAGCCCCACAAACAGGATTACTTTGCGAGGATACGCTTAAAATCGACAGAATGGATTGGGCTGCTGTGAAAGATGTGAGCACAAACCTTTAAAAACAGATGTCAAGCTGAAATATGTGTCAACTTACGATAAGTGCATGCAACCATGAAACTGCAGCAGGTCATACATCCATGTGACTGGGCTCCACCTCGCCGCTGGTCACAAGGATTTATTTTGGATACTTGTTTTTAATTTTGTTTACAAGGTTTTGGGAAGCAGATTTCTGCGGTGAAAGACTCCCGGGATGAGGAAATATAAGAAGGCTCACTGAGGTGTGTTCCGAACGTTGCCATGGTGATACCATTGAACCTGAATGAACCAATGCTATTTTCTCTTTTTGCATCATACAAAGCAACAAAGCGGGTTTTTGTGTGAAGGGCTGTGTTTACCCTGCTGCACACGAGTCGACCCAGAGTGAGGGCTATGGTAGGTTGGAAACAAAAGAAACCAAACAACTCTGAACTTTTTAAAAAGCACTTTTAAATCCATTTTACAAACACGTCTTTTTACAATAAACAGAAATAAAACGCTGACACCATAAACCTTAGGTGACTCTGAAGGGTAATTTAAATAATGAACATGTCCAGGGTGACGTGATGCGGTTGCCGCAGCAACCCCACCAAGTCTTTGAATTTAAAGATGGAGAGTGAGCTGTTCACCAACGGCTCGTTGTGTCTGAAGTGTTTGGTGCCCTTCCAAATGATACCAAAGACATAATTATTATTTTTAATTCAGCCGTTATCAGGCCTCCTCTCCGTTATCAGCCTTTTGTGATGAGAACTAGCATGAGTGACTGTGTTTAGTCACGCTGCTTGCTTTGACAGGATAATGAAGCACGAACAATGTCTGGTAAGGACAGAAAACCTTTTGAAAATCACAAAAACCCTGGATTTATTTCCACTGCGGAGGTTTCAGAGCTTTAAAAGAGGAAGATCAGCACCTCAGGAACATCAAATGAAACAAAACGCCTCCAGGTGGATCAACAAAACATCTGGAATTAGTGCAGAATGAATAATGAGCGCATGAGACGAGAGCCTAACGTGCAACGGTTACTAAATGGAAACACTTTTACATCATCAAACCGAGACTGTGCTAATAGATTAAGGGCTGCATTCCTTTGATTGTGCATTTCTGAACAGAAAATACAAAAGGACGACATCCCCGACAGCAGGACGTCCCCTAGGGCCAACCTTGGCTGGCTTGGGAACCTCCGCGGCTCCCGCCGGGGGAGCCTGTGAATGGGTCTGGCAGGAGGGCAGAAGGCTCCCTTAGGGCTGCTGACCCCTCACCTGGACCTGGATTAGGGGAAGACAACAAATTTGTCATAACTTGACAAACACATCTCATGAACAATCTGCTCAGTTTGTCTGGGTGCATGTGTTTGTTCAGGCCACATTATGATTTTTGGATGTATAAAAGCTGGCATTCGGCCAGCGGAGTAACAGAATGAATAAAGCCCTAACCTCCAGAAATTGGCCACACCCACAAAGTGGCACTTGGTCAGGGTCAGACTACGACCAGTTACGTCAAAATTCATATAAACTGGATGGCGGTTGTGGGATTTACAACAACATTTAGTGTCATATAGGGCTGCAACAAACGATTATTTGGATAATCGATGAATCGGATGGGGTCTCGACACGATTAATCGGATTACATGGGGAAATTTTTAAAAACTGCTAGGGAAACGTTATTTCTCTCCTTCCTTCACTTTATTTAACACAACATTATTAGAAAACAGTTCAATAGCAGAAAAACAACATGCCATCACCTAAATTGTCTTATAAGGTGTATAGAAAGAGACCCTCAGCTACACCTATCTGTGACCTAAAATGCTTGGTCCAAGTTAAACAGCTTAAGGGCAATTCTCATCTGTTTTGTTTGATCTCATCTGTTCACATTTATTATAATTGGGGATGTCAAACAACTAATTTTTAAATGTAATTAAACATAGGCTGTGAATTAATCAAAATTGATCACTATTTCCAAAAATGACTGAAAAAATACCAAATAAAACTAAAGTAAATGAATGCCATCCTCCTTGTGATGATGCCCTGGTCAACTGCCATAAAGTCACATCAAAAAATGCTGCTGATCATTCCAATGATCCCAAATAGACTCACATTAGGCCACATGAAAGCAACTGAACCCAAAAATATATTAACCAGTATATAACTGCACTCTCACACAACACGCCTGCAGCAACAGTTAGGACTCCTCCCTCCCTTTTAAAAGCGTTTTCGCTTCTGAGGACATTGTGGTTGTAAAACCACATGCTAGTAGTCTGGCCCCGGTGTGATCAACCAGTTTCTGCGGGAATGTGACGGCGGAACCGGTTCGCAGCAGCGCGAGTCCCCCCCGCTCATCTAATAAGCGTCGCGCTCACGACTTTAGACTCTTTTTTTTTACGAGTTTAGGGCATGTCTAGCCTGTGTAATAATCCGGGACTTGGATGAATCACTTTTGAAAAGTTTTTAACTTACCCGGACACAGAGTTCTCTCCTTCCTCGCTGATGATTCGGCATGCTTGCGTTTAAGATGCTGCATCATCACTGTAGTACTCCCGTGCCATGCTAAGTCATGCTAAGTCTGACCTAAACGTTGCAGGTACCGAATGTCTTCGACTGATTTAACTGAAAATGCTCCCAAACTTAAAAAGTTTTTACTTTTTTGACTCTCTCTGCTTCTGCCATGTTCCTCTTCCAAACACCTGCCGGCTCTCCTTCGCGCTGATCTGACTTGCTCTGGTCTGCGCGCAACGGCGGGCGGGAAGGGGGGGGGGCTTTTGGAAGGAAGAGTTGCGCGACACAACGAATCGATGACACAATTTGTTGCCAACGCTTTTAGTAAACGGGTTTCATCGAATTTATCGATTCGTTGTTGCAGCCCTTGTGTCATAGCATGACATCAAATTTACTGTGCCACTGAGGCCACGCCCCCCAGAGAAAGTGCTGAGTGGCTCACTTTTAAGGGTGAGCTTCAGGAGTTAAGAGGGTTATATCAGGACTGCATTAACCAAGTTTGAAGCTGCCATGGGTAACTGTCAATGAGGAGTTTGTTCAAACAGAAGGTCGACTCAAAATGGCCCACGTCCTCTTTGTTTTAGGAAATGTCTGTCAGACCTTCTGTAGATCTTCAAGAGCTGTCAGAGGACTAACATCTATATCTGTACGACGTTCATGTAAACGTAGAAAATATCTAGAACACTTAACAGGGGGCAGCGGCGCTACTGAGCCATTTCTCTTTGGTTTTGGGTGAGTCCCTTGAACAGACCGGACTAACGTGCAGAATTTCAGGCATCCTGGCCCATGTTCAGGCCTACTACAAGGCTAGTCATTTGGCAAAGGAACGAACAGCATTTGAAACAAGTCTTCACCACCCTTAGTGGCAAACACATAATAATGAATACTAATAATGGGGGGCTGAAGAGGATTTTTGTTTACTCGGTGTGATGCGAATCACTGAAGCCGATCCAACACTACATGTATGATGTGAGCCCAAGCCACATGTCCTGAGCACAGCTGACAGGCAGAGACTTGTCCTCCTTCCATCCTGGATAATA